TTTCATATTCTGACTTAAGTTTTTATCGTTCAAAATATTAACGTTTATTACACATTTCCAATAACTGAATTATTATGTCAATAATTTAAATTGTTATTTTTATTGGAATATATTAGGATATGGATTTGTCAATCAAATCCAACACGAATTTACTCTTTTCCTTGTGGACATTAATTTTCATTTTATATACATCTTTATTAATGTAAACATTGTGAAATTTTATAAATATTTTGTTTATACTGAATTAAACTAATTTAATGGAAAATTAAAAAAAAAAATTAGAACATTCGGAATCCTTAACCCAGATTTATGTTCAGTTCCGTCATTTTTATAAATACGCCATTGTGTGGAGGATTTTACCACATAAAATTAGAATTACCTTTTTTAATTCGCTTATTATTTATAAAATCTCTTGGCTAATGTAAACAGAAGCTGCGGAATTTCCAGATTTCAAGTGCCTTTCCCTCGTTCGCACGCCGAACGGCATCATCCTCGTCTCTATCTATAATAGACACGGCAAATGATCAAAAATTCCATCGATTAGAAAACGACGTCTTCGAAGATGACTCCTGTCACATGCAAACAAAAATTATCATCATTTTCGTGTACAGATGTACTTTTTTTTTCTGAGTCGTGATTCTATAATGTACAATACTTTAGTTTTTATGTTCGAACTTCCCATCAGAAACGTTTCCATCTTTCATTCATCGTGTCTATTTCCTAATTAACGTTATAGCCCGGAGATATTTGCTCGACCACCTGCTAATTTGTACTATACTTTTAACGCAATTTAGAACAGGCTTTCAACACCGCATAACCAATTGCTAAAACTGTTCATTAAGAGAGTAGCTTTGCTCTTTGTTTCGTTGCCGATCTCGAAGACAATCTTTCTACTTTCACTTAATAATTAATATACAATAATTTAGACCTTCATTATAAACAAAAAGCATACATTATTTATTTTAAATAGTAAAAAGAAAAAGCTATCATCGTTTTTTTTTTCTTCTTCTTAATTTATTTTATTCGTCGGATCATATCCAAAAATAGCATTAGAACTATTACACTTTGTTCAATGAAGTCATCTTGAAATTTTGTTACACTTTCTAAATTCTTTCAATATGGAAATGGACTAAATAATATCTCATTACTTGATATATAATAATTGAAGAAATTTGTCTGTATATTCCAATTGGAAGGATTTGTTGGATTCGAACTTAATTGGTTGTTAGTATTTAGTTACAAGGTATTTTAGGTAGTAATCATTGGAATGTAGTGTAGATGATGGCTACTGGTGTTGGCTTCCGTCGTCCAAAATGAATGGACTTTCGCTGATGCCTCAGGCATCTTTTAGAGATCGCGGATATTTCGGCTCGAAGTCTTTAATGTTAAGGACCTATCTCGAATCCGGTACCCAACTGTCCGTAATAGGAACAATCCGCCTGGGGCAGCACGCAGACTTGGAGGTTTTTGTCTTTGGAAAAACCCGCGCAATTACGCGAATTCACACAATTAACGCGATAGTTACGGATATTGATCTGGCACGTACATGTCTCATCTCGCTTCCATCATGTGCGTGCGACTTTCATTTGTTTTCTTTAATACTGTTTGTTTTTCTTATTGTAGTATTTCGGATTGGATCTATGGATATACCCAAACGAATGCGTCCTGACCGGCTCTGTGACTTTGACGGATCGACTCAGCTCATACACCGAAGATGAATGACTCGCTTATACCTGGAAATAGTCAACGGCCCTTGCTCCAAATGCATGCCTGAACTGAGTCACGAGCGAATGTCAGAGCCTTCATTGTTTCGACCTTCTGTAAATCACCGATGATCCTTCTACAAACCTACACAATTCTGAACTCTGAATCTTCCGGATCAACTAAGAAGGATGTTATGCAATGCGGATAACCTATTGCAAATACAATAAGATATTTAAAAGCAAATAGAACGTGCGCAGCAGAGCTTAGGTAACAACAATACAAATAGAAGAAAACATATGTAATTGTTTGTATGTTTTAATTAGGTTTTTGCTGCACGAGAATGATTAATTGTGTTGTCGGACTCGTGTGTTTTGGACCCCAGAGGCTGTGGAAATTCTGTTGCCCAACTCTCACGAAACGAGACCAAATTCGATGATCATATTTGGAAATTTCAAATTGAGGATAATCTACAAATAATTTAATAACCATGCGATTAAAGTTTATATTTTTTATATAACAAAAAAAAAACAAACGCTTGCATCAATATATTTAATATACTTATATAACGAGATATATAAGAAGTTATATTCTTCATTATCATTATTATTATTAATGAAAGTTTGAGTTTCTAAATGAAAGAATATATAAAATAGCTTTAAATATGAGAATACAATAATAAAAACTATAAATAAACATTGGTATTAGTAATGATATTATGTTTAACTATTATTAGGAGAGAATAACAACTGGTATTTAATAAGAAACTAATAATAGTTTTGTGTTTATTCAAGATTTATAAAAATAGCATAATATTAGATTTTGAGTTAAATATAAAGATATTAGATGATTAACTTTATGAATAATCGAACTATGATAAAAATCCGAAAGTGACATTTCTGCATCCAAATTACGCAATGGGATTAATAGTTTTGAGAGTAAATATCGCCGTTAAACGGTTGATAATTTTTCCCCGAAGCATGTGCTAATACGGTCTGATCCGGATCTACGCGGAGCGGTTATTTATACATTCTTTATTCATTAGTATGCCGTTACGAAAATATCGGAAATTCTATTGTTTTGTGGCATGTTATTTCGTTCTCATCTACACCTTTCAACGAGACAACCGATTTGAAAAGCGGTTTTGCGGTTTTGGGATCGGGAATTGATCAGGGCATTCGATTTTGTCCGATCTGTTCGTGATTTCTTGTATAGCTTCAGGGAAATATGGAATTGTCATCTAGGGTTTATTTTTTATCCCGGATTGTTAATTTTTTTTTTTGCCTTCTCGAGAACTTGACACTCCTATTTCTATACGTAATCCGATTTAAATTGTAAGAGAAATAGTCAATTCCTGCGGTTAATATAAATGAGTCTGGGATGCTTTTAATCTCAATTATGACATACATTTTTATATAATTTAAAGAAATATGTATAAAAATTATTATAATCTAAAATTATAATCAAATTATTGTATTTATATACGAAACATTATTTGACGTTTATCATCAGTATAGCCAACTGTTTAATAAATTTAATAATAAATAAATTTAATAAATTACAAAATTTTTAATAAAATCTAATGTTTAAATGTTATAAATAAATTAAAAAAAAATAATAATAATTATTTTGTTTTTATTTTTAATGTATTAATGTAGAATTAATAATATAAACTTTTATATGATAGTTTCAAATCTTTGTTAGATTGCAAACCTGTAAACAAAAGCTATCAACAACAACTATCTTCGGTTTATAATATTTCTTTTCATATTTGTCTGTTGTCCAGTGTGGACAAATTTTCAAACGTTTGCAATAATATAACATTTTACTAACTCAAAATGATTATTATATTGTCAAACTCCACTATTGTCCATATTGGGATAAGTAAGTAGAGATATTGAAACGATTCGGTGAATTCCATGTTGATTTATATACATATTTTTGTTTTAGTATTAGCCGCTTGGTCCGTCGTGTTCGAATGGCCTCTTTATAGGATATGGTTACCGATTGCATCATGCATTGCTCTCAGGCGCATATTAATCTATACTATGTTCAATCATAAGACAATCTTCTATTATCTGCTGCATTACACACCGATCTATATGGCGTCCTATTCGAAAAATTTCTTTTACAGTTGGATAGTGGCTGTGATTGTAACACTCTGGTATGATTTCCAAATTACCTGGATTGGAATGCCAATAATGACAAGTGTGGCTGCCCATACCTACACCATAACTTATTATGATCTGATTGTCTGAAATAACAAAATATGTAAACTTTTTTTTTTGATAATGTTTGTAACTACTTGACTTTTGATTAAAATAAATTCCGCTCTATTTCTTTCTTATTACTGATCTGTATTTTATTATACTATAACCAAAAGTATAACATCCAAAGACAATTTATATTAAGTAAAGTTATAAGAAAGTCAAAATAAAGATAATCAAGTAGGAAAAATAACAATTAGAAAATATATACACTTTAACAAGAAAATTTGTAAGTTTTCTTGGTGTAATCAAAGGAAATCGTCTTGATTTGTTATATGGTTAAAATCTATCCAACATTCATCATTGATTTATATAAGCATATAATTTGAATTTAAGGTGGCCAGTAAAAAACAATTAGGTTAGTTCTCAATTTTGGGGAAATAACAAAATATCCCTATGACATTCGTCGCTATGTTAAAAACAAAATATATATCAGTGTCGATTTGTATTACAGAGCCCTTCCGTTTTCAGTGCAGTAAAGACTCGACTAAAATCATCAATTTTTAAGTTTTCTTGATGTAATCAAACGAAATCGCCTTGATTTGTTTATGGTTAAACCCTATCCAACATTCATCATTGATTTATATAATCAACAATTTGTATTTAAGGTGTAAAAACAAGTAAAAAACAAATAGGTAAGTTCTCAATTTTGGGGAAATAACATTCGTCGCTATGTTCAAAACAAAATATATATCACTGTCGATTTGTATTACAGAACCCTTCCGTTTTTAGTGCAGTAAAGACTCGACTGAAATCATCAACTCCTGAAGCATGTATTTTATAATTCTAATAATTGTGGCCACATTCTTGCTCGCCCCGAGTAAGTATTTCACTGTGTATGTTTATAGTTTGAGAATTAACTGTATATTAACATTTCAGATCCGTTTATTGGATTTATATTCCTCGCGGCAGCGAGAGAACTCGAGCAGTTCCAGGACACTATGGCTGTGCTGGAAGTCATATTGTACATATGTGCGATTGCATCCGTATATTTAACTATTAATAGAATACTCATAGCACACATCGCATACTTTCTCTTGGTGATTGTCACATGCAATAGGAATCATAGAATGTTTTCTGAAAGATTGACCAATAGCACATCTCCATAATATGTTAAAAGAATGTATGATCTGATTGTCTAAAATAACAAAATATGTAAACTTTTTTTTTTGATAATGTTTCTAACTACTTCACTTTTGATTAAAATAAATTCCGTTCTAATTATTTCTTATTACTGATCTGTATTTTATTATATATAATATGTTAAAAGAATTATATGTATTGTTATTTAACCTACAAAATTTTCAAAAATAAACCAATGTGAAAGTAATCTAAAATTTATTTCGGCAATAAATAATTGTAGAATCAAGATGGCTCTGTAAACGTCAAACTATTAGATAGGCAACATAGTGAACAAAATAACCTAAAAACTGGAAGACAGAAGTTTTTTTATTATAAATAGAATTGCACGTATTTTATAATCATGTTTATTATTTTCTTCATAAAAGTATTTTTATTAATACTCATTGTATCAGTAGAAGGTAATATATTGATAATTTTATAATAAATTTTATAAAAAGTTTTTCTTTATTTTAGATACTGAAGTGAGCATCTTTATAATATTCATATACGTATTTGTTACGAACGAATTTGATCCAGACACAGACCCAATCACTTGTCTGTATTACACATTCAAAAATGCGTGTGTATACTTCGTATATTTACTATACACACAAAATGCCAACGAAGAATAAATGATGTTTTATGGTATCCAAGCTGGTTATATGGAAATCGTCAATTCTAGAACGTCGTATAACTGTATATCGTCATTACACTCTTGAGAATGGTGGTGTACAAATGGGATCCTGTATTTTAATACAGTTGGAGATACGGATCTTATTAGAGCATTCATGTATCAACACGTAATGTTAAGCCACAACCTTCAGGAAATACAGGCGAAGACGGTTTCATTCAGGCAACATGTATGGATTTGTCATTAGGTGTTGACAAGGAATTATACGACTTATACCAGCTAGGATTTTTATAGGCTTAGGAATTGTTTATTGTGATATTATGTTAGTTATACTATGTTTGTTGTATGGTTCTAAACGTTGCATTTTTTATATTTCATAAATAAATAAAGACTGATTTTCTAATAGATTTTATTCATTGAATATCTCAAGACGCTCAACAGAGTTTGAAGATCAATTTCACTGAAATCTTTTTTCCGCTACGCTCTTTGCGCTTACAAGAGTCCTCTGTATTTTAGTTTTCTTGGATTCCCTGTATTTAGCGGCAATATCTTTTGACAACTCTGCAACTCTCTCCATTATCTCCGTGGGATACCTACACATAAACAAGTTGTTTTATCAATAATTATATTATATACATTATTTCTATATACTTACACACAGCCTAGCATCTCTATATTTATGAAAGTTCTTGCTAGTCCAACCAAGTATTCCTCTGAGAATTGCCCCTTGTGTGCAATCATAAACTCCTTTCTGAGCAGCCAGTGATGAAGTGGCTCTGTTTCGTCATAATACTGTTCAATATCCCAATCCTTTGAATATTTCACAGCCATTGTTATTAACTGTTTCCTTATTCTCAAAATGTATGTGCACAACTTATATATCTTCAAGAAAATGTATAGTCAGAATAGATGTGTTATGACTCGGTAACATCCGTTGCCGGGAGATTACGTTATGTAGTAAACAACAAGGTTAGCAACTGAAAAGAAACAAAAATAAAAACAGGTTAACCAATCTGGAGGAATAATATTTTTTAATAATAATATTAATTAATCACAAATGTGACCAAAGGCCTATCGACCTAAGCACCATGCTATGCTCTGATTCAAAATTTTGTATATATACTCTTGATAACAAACTCGTGTATTAGATATATTTTAGAGCCTTTGTGCAGTTTTGCTGTCTTATACCTTGATGCTCTATAGCCTAATTAAATGAGAACATGCTATGATTTAGACCTGTGATTAAATACAATCTCATGGTTGATCGTGGAATTCATGTAAGGTCTCAAGATGTATTAATCTTATACTTTGATGCTATATAGTCAAATTAAGTGAGATATTCGTAAATCCTCATCTTGAGGTAATAGACATAAAAGCTGTAAGGATACAGTACTATTCCCAAAATGTGTTATGTATGAATTTTCAGGTTTAATCCTTAAATTTGAACGAAAGTATCTTAAAATCTTCGATGAATAGTTATTCAGATTTATAAATTACTATCAAGAACCAGCTCTTAAATGCGAAGTTATAGTAGCAATTTGAGAGAAATTTTAAAGTTTAATAAAACAAATATTTTTTCACATAATTGTATTTGGTTTTAATTCATAACTATAGTAAATCTTTGGCAATAATCTATATGAATAAATCAACATGAAAAACGTATACAAAAAGACTAACACATAATAAACAGCAACTAAATCTAATGTAATATACTTAAAATAACGAAGAGTAACTGCTTAAAAAATGGGATTTCCAAACAGCAAATAGCGAAAGAATAGACAAAGTGCTATTATTAACGCAAAGAAGATCTGCAAGACAAGTCCAATTCCTTTCAGGATCAGCATTGCAATGGCTTTGTAGAATTTCGCTATCCATGGAATTGCAACGGTTGCTGGGAGTAGAGCAAGCAAATGTCCAGTGTACAGGAACGCCAAAAATGATGTCGATACTGCAATAAAGAGATCATTAGTAATTAGCAATTAATTAAATTAAAGACATACGCAAAATTCCGACAATCAGAAATGGGATCCTCATATTGCTTTAGTTTTTTGTGTACTTTTGCAGGAAAGTGGTGTGGAATTAATGGAACTTAAGATTTCCTGAAACAAAAAGAAAATTTCAAATTAATATACAGGATGAACACAATAAAATCCAATTAGAAATTAAAAATTGATTGAATTTCTTACCAAATTTGATGGTCCTCATTTTCGCTTTAAAGGATTGAATGGAAATGAACTTCTTAGTGATCTAGAAAATAATTTGATTTGGAGATTAGCCCAAGCTTTTTTTTTGGGTGTGTCAGCAATAATAAAAAATGGAGGGAAATGCAACAGCAACAAAAATGGCATGTATAGCAATATTATAAGTTTGGTTATGATGAATTGAAACAATTCGTGGAAGCAATAGCCTTTTTGGAAGTCCGTATAAGAAAGTTAGACTTTTGTTAAGAACACTAGTGAAATTTCTCACCTGAAAGTAGATTTTTAATGAACTAAATTCAGAAGACACAGGAACACAATTACACGATGTACGCAATGAACCGGATGTTGTGAATTGCCTATGTCGATGCATTTGTTTTTTAGCGCCCCCTGGAGTTTACAAAAATAAATTTAAATATTATATTATTTAAATTTTATTGTAATAACATAATACGTACGTAAGCCATAAATATATGATAATTATAAATAAATATAAAAAGAACTTTAAGATGTTTTAAGATGTTACAGTTTCAACTTAAAGTTAGGCAACTTTTTAATAATATCCAATTGAATTATACGGAATAAAAAAAATAAATTAAAAAAATAAATTTATATTCAATGGAAATAAATGAATGAAACAAACAGATTAAAAATGTAAGAAATTTTATAAAATTACTTGAAATAAATTTTAGTTACATGAAAAATAATATTTATTTGTAGATGGCGATACTTGATATATAGAAGTATAGACAACCTTCGTTATTGAATATCTTTTCCAAATAACGAACAACATGTTGACGGAATTATTACTAGTATTAACGCTAACAGCGATAATTATCACACCAGGTATGTTTAATTAGTTATTTCAAATAGATTTATGTGCTAATATATAATTTCTTTTAGTAAGTACTGGAACGGTGGTGCTCCTTATTTTGTACCATTGTGCCCAGCCATGGGATAGACAAGTAATTATGGCAGCCTTTTGGTTGCCATATCGGGCACTCATGGTGAAATATACATTAATAGCCCTATTCCATTGGTTAAGAGATTTATACCTTAACTAGTAAAACTGGTTCAATGAATAAATAAATTGTTCTAACTGCTAATACTGTTTTTTTCTTAACCTTAAAAGCATTATTTTTCTATGCAGATGTCTTTCCATACTGTATTCCCAAATGTAAATTTTCACACAATAAGAAAATATCATCTAACCTATTTGTTCAAATATATATATTTTTATTGAAACCGTTATTTGTTTAGCTATTGATATAGTCATTACTATTATACATACTTTAATCTATTATTATTATTATTATTATTGTATTACCAAAATATTTCACTAAAATCAATTCATATAAAGACATATATAGTATAAACAAGGTCATGGTTCTAGAATTACTTAATATATTCCTTTCCAAATTACGTTGTGAAAAACTCATAGAAGTATCTTAGGAAATATTAGCCTTACGTGAAGAGTATGGATCATCAACTTGTTAATCTTATTACAACAAAATGGTATTGATTACCTGAATATAAATAATAAACAATGCAAGAACAAATACACGATAATCAAAGATCTAACTAAGAATTCCATAGAAAAGATGATATAATATGTAGTATGGTACAAATATATAAATTAGAACTAGGTGTGTCACCTTTTGCGCTTTACGTACCACTCGTAATATGCATTGTTTACATTTCACTCCTATCAGCTATGTCTTGTATAATTGTTTCATGGTGTATGTTTCAAGGCTGCAGATCAAAGATGTTGACGATGCGAATTTTATCTTGACACCAGACACTACTTAAAAGTACATACTATAAGAAATGTGTTGAGTAATGACATTTGTTATAGTATAAACTTAGTAAATGTACTTTGACTTCCATTTCTGCGCAACTCTGATGACTTATCCAATAAATTTGCAGAAGACAGGATTGCACTACATAAGAAATATACCTGTGCTGCTGTCTAATTGCAACATTTTCCGTGCAATATATAAATATTTTAGGTTCGTATTATGGATATATCTTCTTAAATCTGGTCAAAACTTTACAAGATGATAACGAGGAAATGTGGGATCTGGAAAAAGTCCTTAAATATTTGTAACTAATCAGGAGTACCAAATTCCGCTACGCAAATTAATTACCTAGACGTGACTTAGCATATTTCACGCTGTCAAATTGCATTACAGTGTACTCCTGCTTTCTGTGGTGTAAAGGTCGTAGGAACCAAAATGGTATACATCTTCTTGTATGTCTTAGCAAACTTATTCCTCTCGCCAAGTAAGTCTCACAAAAATTATTCTTAAAATTCTGGAATCTACAAAGATATATTTTTATTTTAGGGCCGTTCTATGGTCATGCATTTTTAGCAGTTATTTGTTACGTAGAATCCCATTTGACCATTATATTCTACACTGAAAAGGTGTTGTTCATTGCAACAGCTTTCTGTTTGGCAATTCTGCCAATGAAGAGAGAGTTGATAGGAAATCTGTTATACTGCCTTACCGTCACGGTGATCCTAAATATAAAAAATAGATATGCATAATAGACATATTATGGCACCATTCGTTGTAAGTATAATGTTACAAAACCTAACATTTTATTAATTTTTTTTTAATTCCGTAGGTTAGCAGAGTAGTTTTCCGTTGCAACAACATGTATAAGAATCTTAGGATTTTTTTTCCAAAATATCCTAAATCTTTATTCTTTATATCAGTAAAGTAATAATTCATTCCATGGAGTACCAAAAACCTTAGTGTATAGTTTGAATAATGTCATAATCTATTGTATTAATTTTTCTTACATGTAACCGCAATACAATAAATTTATTAACACCACTTGAAATCTTTACTATGTACATTCATAAATTTATTTAAAATCAACACTTTGTGGCTGAGGTATATAAATTACTTCATTTTTACCTGCTCCATCCCTTCAACTTTATTACACTGGATTGAAATCAATTGTTAAACTTTTACTTATTGTATTATACTACATTTTGTGGCTAATCTATCACCTTTATTATTAGTGGCAAGTTACTAATCATGTCCAATAATATAATCATTTCTGCAATTATTCTGTTCAATCCAATAAAAGTATAAAGTTTCGCTTGATATTAGAAAATAAAACTTGTAGTAACAGATTTGGTTTAATTTTTTTTTTCTATATTATTTTGTTGAGTTTGTATTATGCTAATTTGTTACAATAAATGTTATTATTATTTATATTAAGACTTGTAGCTTTTCACATTTAATCTATCTTAATTTCATTAAAAATGCTGCAAATAAAAATGTCTTATACCTTGATGCTCTATAGCCTAATTAAATGAGAACATGCTATGATTTAGACCTGTAATTAAATACAATCTCATGGTTGATCTTGGAATTCATGTAAGGTCTCAAGATGTATTAATCTTATACTTTGATGCTATATAGTCAAATTAAGTGAGATATTCGTAAATCCTNNAAATTTGAACGAAAGTATCTTAAAATCTTCGATGAATAGTTATTCAGATTTATAAATTACTATCAAGAACCAGCTCTTAAATGCTTAGTTATAGTAGCAATTTGAGAGAAAATTTAAAGTTTAATAAAAAAAAAAATATTTTTTCACATAATTGTATTTGGTTTT